CTGCCGGCGAGTAGGGCTACTAGCGGGTAGTAGACGGGAAACCCCGGTCACTCCACTCAGTTCCCTAATTCACCGGGCGTGGCCCATGTCATGCAATGCAGTGAACCTCAGCGCAGGCCCTTTGAGAGCATCCCCACCCCCCACCCATCCCCATGTTCACCTTCAGATTACCATGAGCACGTGCCGCGTCGCACTGTCTACGTCACAACAAGCGTACTTACGTCACGTCGAATGCAATGTTTAAATCAAATAAGTGGTGAGGACCACTTCACAGTTTCTTGTGCTGTATAACTGCGCAGCCATGACTCAGCTCGCTGATCTATGAGACAGTGGCTGACCGCCGCGCCTGTGTTGTGAATGCATAATGCGAACTGAGCGTCCAGTGACGTTTGTACACAACTCGTGCGGTGTGCCGAGCGGCGGATAATCCGACGCAGGGCCCGTGACGGTGGCCTGCTTCCACTCCCCTGTCACGTTTCTACATTTTAATCATTCCATGAAAAGATCCCATGCCTTGCATAAAACATGAAAATTCCGTCCCTCAATGCCGGAAACGATACATTTATAGGTATAGTCGACTACAGAATGATGTTCCACTCCTCAGAAGCTATCAGTTGACCGGAGCGCTAAGTTGTGCCGTTTATCACGCAATTAAAGGGACCCTCCCACCTCCACATTAGATTTGAGTTGAGATAGCCAAAATGGGGTCCCTGGCTCACAATTACCGGTTTCGGCACTCACAACATCGAGAAATGCCTTAACACGCGCAGTGGAAGGGTTGCGAGTACTACGCCCAGTGGAAGGGGGGGGGCGGATGTCGCCCCCCCCCCTAAGATCTCAGCTCCCACTGGAGCTAGAAAGACGAAATTTGGAGGGTAGGTGGGGGCCTAGGGGAACTCTGTTATGTGTGAATTTCATGACCCTAGGTCAATATCTTCAAGGTCAAATGAGGTCAAAAGTGGTCAAATCTGCCATATTAGCGACTTTTTTGCGTTTACACGCCGATAACTCAAAAAGTTACCGGCCGATTTTCTTTTTTCTTTCTTTATACGAAAGAACATACATTTGTGAGTATGTATGGCGAATTTCTTGTTAATCCAACAATAAATATGGCAGTTATAAGCCTGCTAAGCGTAAGATGTCGCCGGCTGAAGCGGGATCGGCGGACGCGGGAAACGTGGCAATCACAATTTTGTGTTTACACACTCATAACTCAAGTTGTTACCGGCCGATTTTCAAAATTCTTTGACCATAAGATTGCCTGTACATTTCTTAGTCTTCTCACAAAATTTGACGCGAATCGAATATAATCAGCGGTAAAGAGCGCGATGTAAAGACGGAACCATCCCGCCCCGGCACAGTCTACAATTCAGGCGGCGCGTAACGGCTAGCGCCGGCCGCCGTGCCGCCGCGCCGCCGCGGCGGCAGGATGTTTGACTTTACACCGCTATTACCATGGGCGCCGCCACCGGGGGGGGGGGGGGACGGGGGGGGGACGCGTCCCCCCATTCTCAGAATGGAAGGGGGACGTCCCCCCCCAAACTCATTACGGAGCGAGCGAAGCGAGCTTAGTCTTTCGTAGATAACGGAAATTTCTGAGTGTGAGCGGCCGGCACGCTTTTGCGAGGCTTATATCTCAGCAGCCATTTGACCGAATTACATGCCATAATTTTCGCTAGGGTAGCTTTATTCCTTCTAACAAGTGTTGGACTATCCCCGATGCATGTGGGTGACCCCTTATGCACGTGCCACATGAAAAATGAAGATGTGTCAGTTTTGTAACAATTTTGACAAAGAAAGTTGGCATGTATAAGTAGGTACCCACTAGGCAATGCATATTCATGTGCTACAGTTGGGGTGCTGCTGCACGTGCGCACGTGCAGGGGTCGATTCCAGATCTCGAGAACGGCTGAACCCACGGTGACTATAAATAGGCTGAACCGATTGTGCTGAAATTTGATACATGGTTAGGGACCGGTTAGTAGGTAGGGTACCGTGCAAAAGTCAGTTGGGACCCATTTTGCACGTGCGCACGTGCAGGGTGCCGCTTCCAGACCAGAGCTCGAGAACGGCTAGGCCGATTGCGCTCAAATTTGGCACATCGTTAGGGACCGGTTAGTAGGGTGCAGTGCACAAGTTAGTTGTAGGTCTACCCCCTTGCAATTTCGCACGTGCAAGGCCCACCCTCTCGCTCGCTCCGTTGGTCGCCCTAAAAGGCGTTTTACTGGTTGTCATCCATACCCGAAATATGTTTAGGCCCGTGTGTCCAATGAGACCATTTCAGAGCCGGAAGGATGAAAGAATTAGTGGGAGACATTGGTCTGGGCAGCCATCCCAGTGACCCACAATTGGGCTGAACCCGACCAATTGAACAGACAGCCCAGCCCACTGGCATTCACTGCACCCGGCAAAGGACTATAGCTCCAGTGGAGCCATTCCAGCATGGGATAGTTGCCCGTCCAGCCCGGAGCAGGGGGGTTGCGGCGTAGAGGAGAAGGATTTGACTGTCCTGAGGATGGAAGAGATAGAACGGTGCCGAATCTGAGAGGGTCCAGGAGGTTTACATACTCAGTATATGGGGTGTGGGCCTACATGCATTGGTCTGACCCCTGACACCTCGGCCAACAAAATCTCCAGCTCTTGTCCGACCTGTTATCGCGGAACTGCCGATTTTTGATATCGTGATCAACGTGTGTCGTATAACACGACTGGCCGAAAATGGGCCTAATATATTTCGTCAAACCAGCCAAGAGAGCATGACTTTAAACCAATCCGACATCGAAGTCAAAATCCGAACAATTTCGAAGACTTCAACTCCGACTCTAGCCAAAACTATCAACTCCGACTGATTTCGGCTCCGACCCCACAGTTCTGCAGTCACACGACACTAAATTTCCAGCTTCTAAGAAATAAGCTATACGGTTGAGAGGACAACAAAACTTTGAGGCGACTTGACTACTTCACTTGGTGACCTGACCTAAGGTTTTCTGGTATCAAGCTTGTTACACGGGCTGCAAAATCCATATTTTGGAGCAGTTTTGCCTGATATTTTTTGCCAATTTTCGCGGCGCTTCGCGCCGATTCATGCACAACCCAGAAAGACAGATTCTTACTACCTATACATCGCCCCCTCCTTCACGCGGGTATGCAATATGCATTTCCTATGCAATATGCATTACCGATCAGATTAGTGGCATACATCAGCAATTATAGCCCGATAGAGCACTGGAGGTTTTGCCGTTTCAAATTGAATCGGACATCGGATGTGTATATAGGTAGGCACTTGGTGGGAAATCGGTCTATAGCCATACCTTAACTACTTTCCTCAAACCAGTTGTTTTGCCACAGTTATGAGTTTTTATGCTTAAAATGGTCAGAAAATAACATAATGAATGTTTGCAAAGAGGATTTTATTTGATTTTTACATAAGAACTGTTTTCCATCTTCGTAGAGGCTACTTATATTGCTGCGGAAGCTGATTACGCGTTGACCAAGCATACCTACTCGTATTACGTAGTTCAAACCAGCTGAATGCTTATTGGCTAGCATTTTTCCGTAAGGGAATGGATTCCTCGGTAATGGAATGACAAAGTGTAGTCATGGGAATGACTTCAGTCTTCAAACCTAAAATCGATACCGATATCTTTGGCTAGGTTGATCGTTGGGCCATAAAAGCTCTTGATTTGTTAATTCTTGTCTCAGCTCAAGCTACAAAACTGTTACTTCAGTTTAAAACCCTATGTTAAAAGTGGCATATTTGCTTTAAACGTTCAATACGTCGGACCGAAAAAGTCACGGTAAGAATGTCTATTTTAGGGTTTTCAGTCGGTCAGTCCGTCCCCCCCAGTCAAAAATCCGTGGCGGCGCCCCTGGCTATTACTAGAAAAGTTGTGACCCGATTCTTTTATTTCTTGCACGAGAAGATCCGCAGTTTAATTTTGGACAGGTAGCCAAAATTTCACATTAATATCATGTTCGCGGCGCAAGTTATTGGCGAAAAACAGGAGGGGTGGGCGAAATCCGCCCCCCCCCCTTCCACTGCGCGTGTTAAATCGGAAATATTGACTTTCAAAATTGCAGCATTTTGATTCAGACGGGATAATGCATAGGAATACCCCTCTGAATGTGTGACGTCAGCGCAGATATCTAACGATTTTTAAATGTTTGACTAAAATGTTTTGTAGCACGCGGTGGTATATGCTACTTTGCGCGCAACAAGTGCCGCACTTTCAGCTGCCAAACTATTGCTTCCAAATGAAGTCGCTAGGAACAGCGGGGATCCCAAAAAGTAAACAAAAGTAAAAGTCTAATATCTTGAAAACCGGTGAATATTTTTCGGTGAAATTTGGTTGATATTCGTTTTCGCTCTTTCTGAACCGAACGACATCACTTTCATGCCAATTCATAAACTTTTTTGAAGGTGGGAGGGTCCCTTTAAGCGTGTCGATTGTGAGCATTGGGACAAAGCTATAATTTGTGAACTCAGCCCGTGTGATGCGGCACAGCCTACCACTCCAGGCAAATAATTGCCAGTAAAAAGTGGAACATCATTCTGTAGTCATAAAAATCATACATGCTTTTTAACCATGCCTAATTCATTTGAAGGAAAAATCATCCTCATGGCCAAGGATACGCTATCAAAATAAACCGAACCAAAATGAGTGACCAAGTATCATGACTAGAGCGACCCGAAGGTGATTCTCTCGGGTGCAGGGCTGGGGTGAAAGAGATTGGGTGGTGGCTAGAACTGAAACTTCAGAGGCATTCGACAGAGGCACTGTGACCCGCAGCAGTCAGCATCGACGTAAAGTGACCAGCTTAGCTATGATCCAATTCAATCACAGCAAACGACCGCTTTTGACCAAAACCGAGAGCATTGCAGTGACCCAATGTGACGCGAAGTCGGGCCGAATAACGGTGAATATGGGGGAGATAGGGGTGATCCATCACCGTACTATCAACTACAATCCGCATGCATGCATGCTTTCCAATGGACTTACCAGAACGTAAACGTCGATTGGATCATCGAATGGTTTGAGATCCGTGCGCAGCATGACGATGCGGAAGTGAACTGAAAAATGAAAACAAACGTCATGATTAGTGGTAATCAGCCTAAGAAATCTACAAAATGCGAGTGACAATACAACGGTGATATTTTTATTTGTGATCAGCCGGATTACCTACATGCAAGGTACCTAATTCGGATATTTTGGTATTTATTACTTTTGTATATTTTGTAATGGAAAATTTGTATGTGCGGTTGATTATAGAATGATGTTCCACTCCTCAAAAACATGAGTTGACCGGAACGCCAACTTGTTCCGCTTTCTTCGCAATTAAGCGTACCTATGGTGAGCGTTGGGTCACAACACTAAACTGCGTCACCCAGCCCGTGTGATGCGGCACAGCCTACCACTCCAGGCAACTGATTGCATCGGAAAGTGGAACGTCATTCTGTAGTCAACTGTACAATGTACTGTACATTACACTTGCTGGAAAGCATGTCGTTATGAAATCAAACTGCATTTCTGTGTTCAAACACATCCTATAGGCCTTCCGGGTGGTTACATTGCAATGGTGTTTTTTTTTTTGTCTCTTTCATATTTCTGCGCTTAGATTTTGAATGCACACGTTCCGCGCATTTTGATAAGGCTGCGATCAGCCACGCATAAGCAGATTAGCCAGCAGAGTCGCTGAGGCATCTAAGACGGGCAGCACTCTCGTCTGCCGGGGAGGGCGGCAAAAACTCCGACCTCAGTCCATCCTGAGACGCCGTGCTCCGTCCATCTCCGGGCTGCGTGGTTTTGTCGGCCCTGAGATTATATCGCGGCCCGGCGGGGAGTCCTGTCGGGCGCCGCTCCCATGGTGGATAGGTGCCAGTTCAGGGACGTCTTAGGCCTGTCTCTCTTTTCCATGATTATAAAAAAAACATCACAAATGAAAAAGGATCGGGAGAGCGTTTCTAACTCAGAAAAAAAAACTAGGAAGGATTATCAGAAATAAATAAGGAATAGAAAGCTCGCTGATATCGCAGACCCCAGGCTCCCTTAGCCTGGATATTGGTCCACTCCACACCTAGCCCGGGCGTACCGCCTCCCTCCGCCCAGCCCACCACTAACCTTCCTGTCCGAAGGAGTAGAGCGGCCGGCTGGTCTGGATCAGCACCGTGAGGAACCTGCGGTCGAACTGGAGGCGCGTCTCGTTGACGAACACTGAGCCGCCCACCCCGCCCCGGTGGTCGCCCTCCAGTCGCAGACGGTAGTCGCCCGGAACGGAGGTGCTCGGCACCTGAACGGTCACAAGGGTCATGGGGTTATAGGGGTCATACGGGTCATACAGTCATACCAGTCATACTGTCATACAGGTCACACGGGTCTCACTCAGTCATACGGGCCATACAAGTCACACGGGTCTCGTTCTGCAGAGTCATACGGACCATACAAGTCACACAGGTCATACAGAGCAGGTCATACAGTTCATACGGGTCACATATGTAAGTCACAGTCACAGTGGTGTAGTGCGAGAATTTTCAGGCACGCTCGGCCCGATCAATAACTTTAAAATGATGATTGATAAAGCTAAAAAGATGATGAGCGAGATCACAGCCAGTACAGAGCTCAAACAACTGAAAACAACTCGGCTACTACATTTTTAAGCAAATCAAGCAATCGATCAAACTTTGCTATTGAGATTGATTACTGAAGCTGAAAGTGAAACATACCTTTACGCAGCAAAAGCACAGCAAATATATCTGCTTATATTTGCGCAATAAACACAACTCTCGATTGTAAAAGAGCGCAACTCATATCAGTCTCGAACATTGGTCACGCCCCATTGGTATTATATTCTCGGTCAAACAACATGCCAGGTAGGATCGGAGCCAAGGTCAGCCGACCAAGGTCAAGTGGCGGGGTCATGAAATACGCTAAAAATACCGTTAACCAAAAAATGGCAACTACAATAGGTAAGGAGACACTAGCGATGCATCAGGATTCAGGCGAGATGAGTTTTATATAAAATCGCCGAAAACAGTTGTCCAGTTTGGCGTCGTTCACTCAAAGTCCCGAACACTAAAAATTAGCAAAGTTTATTTGGTGTGCCAGCTCGCATGGAATACCTAAAGCATAACGGTGTTCATCACCATTTGAAACATTGTTTGCTACTGGCTGAACTCAACATGCAACATGTCCCTAATGTTATTGGTTCTATAAATCAGCCTATACGAAACATAGTCGCACATCAATATAAATATTCCATCGTCTTTATTCGTTTATTACCCTTCCAGTCGGAACTGGAATAGTTAGTTCCAGGAGGCCGGCACTGATCGGATCAGAGTGGTTAGTGGAGAAATGCGCCTATCTGGCCCCATCTCATTACAAATTCCGCTCAGGCAGGGTAGCACCCGGACGGGACCCGAACGTAGACGCCCCGACGCGACGGCGGCGCACCCGGCGCGCCCGGGGCGAAGGCGGCGCAGCCTCCATCGCGAGACGGGCAGCCAGGGCGGAAGGCGCATGGGCCGGTGTTACTGTAGGTCATGGAAGGCTGGGCGCAGGTGTTATGAGACGTGGACATTCAATGCGCTAACTTTCCTGCATTGTTTGTTTACATTTGTAATGTTATGTTTACATTTGTGATGTTATGTTTGCATTTGTGATGTTATGTTCACATTTATGATGTTATGTTTACATTTGTGATGTGTTGTGATGTTAATTTGCAGTTGCACTCATGGTTTGTGATAACTGTACAAATAATACAATGGAGGTGCTGCATCTATTGGCATCTTTTCGCTTCGGGCTTCGTCAGACTTTGACCCAAGAACGTCCCGACGCACCAAACACACTACGTCAAACAATGGACGGACTAGGAATGTGTCAGGCCCTTGAATCTTGATCTCCTGCTTCGAGCCTGTGTCAGACCCGCCTTCATGGAGTTATGGATGAGGAGAAAACAGACTGAGCATCCACCTGCTGATGATCGCCGAGACAAATGCGCATGTGCCGCTCTCGAGGTCAGCCTCCATTCTCAAAATTCATCGAGATTGTAACCTTGTGAGAAACACATGAGCACACATGGACATTCAGCAGTGGGTGTCTTTCCATCCCGTAAAGAGAATGAAGTGTATGTGAATTGAAATAAGATAGGACCCATACCTATACTTCTCTATATATTCAAAGAAGTCTATGGATGTAATCATCCAAAGGATACATCGTCGCTTGTGTGCACGTATGATTGAACCACAACTCATTGATATACTCGGTCTACGATAACAAGTAACCACATTTCCTGCCGCCGATCTCTTACAAAAACTAAGTTACACCGGTTGCGTGGTGTAATGTGTCAGGTGTTTTATGCCGCCGTGATGATGTTTTTACCAGGTCCTGCTTTTTGCTTACCTTCATCATCATCATCTGCAAGTCTCCTCGCGCCATGGTTTTGACGGAGGAGGCGATCTCGACTCCGTTTCTGGAGAGGGACGCTCGCACGTCGAGCGGGTAGCGCAGTCTGTCGGTGAGGGCACTGCCGCTGATATCCAGCAGAGCCACGGCTGCCTGGTAGATGGTGCCGGGACGGACCAGCGACGACGCCACCAGCAGGTACCGGCTGGGGGCGGCAGGGAGGGAGGTCAACAGGGGTCACAGGTACCGGCTGCGGGAGTTACATGGGTCAACTGCAGGTACCGGCTGAGGGCGGGAGGGAGGTCAGTAATAGGTACCGGCTGCGGACGGGAGGGAGGGAGGTCAACAGGAGTCACTGGTACCGGCTGCGGGCGTTACAGGGGTCAAGTGTCAACTATACAAGTAAAGGCTGCGGGTGGCACCGGTTGCGAATAACAGGACACTGGACAGGATGGGTCTGGTATCGGCTACAGCATAGAGTGCACACAGTACAGGGGTGTCGTTAGATGTACATACATAGGTATATTGTATAAGCACTGACGCTGGAAACAGCGGCTTGAGGTCAGCTGTCAGAGAGGTTAGCTAAGACGCCACAGTTGCCTTCCAGAATGGCCCTGAATCTGCCCTTGAATATTATTGAACAGCATGCACAAAAACATGGGCGCAGAGGACCAAATAGAGGTCCGCTCGGGTGACCTAGGACTGGGTCCTGCGACGTGATCTGTTCTCGGTATTCTATACTGCAGTGATCGACAGTACTGCGCAGCGCACATGGCCGGCCTATAACCCGTCGTTTCGTCAGTCGGCCCGCTCCCAGCTCTCAGTCGGTGCCAGACCGGTACCGGCACTTTGTGAGGGTAACCCGGTGGTCAGCCCGGACACTAATCCGCGCCGCTAATGACTGTATGCGTCCACATGCACATTGTCCGACCACAAACGGCTGCAGCACATTGTTGGCCACGTGCCACGGATGTTCAGGTAGGCCGCAGATGCGTCTGACACTAATTAGTGGCCACGACTCCGAATGGGGGGGGGGGCGGCTCATCGCGAGACGCTGATATGAACTGCAGAGCGAACTGTTATTGCAAGGTCTGAGGAGAGTAATGACTTTCCCTATGAGATAGTTTTTGGCTCTCGAAAAGCTTGTGAGAATTATAGGTGTTTACAGGAATTCCAAAACTGTTCGGTAGTTTGCATGCTCATCATTAAATGCACTTAATTACTGAGATTAACCTAACGACGGGGCGAAAACCCCAAGAAGATCTGGCATCTCCTACATGAAGTGACATAAGCACAGTAAGTCAGGTATTACACTATTTGTTACACACCGCACAAGAGACAACAGGTTACAGCGACAAGTTACAGCGAGTATCAACGCTATTTTATGTGTCTGCACCTATCATGCGACATTCAGAGATATGGTACAAATTTGTTGTGTATGTGTTGCATGTCTTTTGTCGTAAAACCATCCAAATATCCAGTCCACGGCACCGATATCGGTCACTACTCATTGAAACCGGAGAGGTGACGTTTCAATTTCAACTGCTATTTCTTTAACCCTCGCCGGACCTATTGGTTTTCTATGTACATACGCGCCGGTCGAGGGGGGGGGGGCGGGTACGACCCCCCCTCGCCGTTTCGTCCCTGGTGGAGCTAGCGCGTCGCGAAAAAAACGAGCGTGTGCGCCGTTACGAGACGCAGAGATTGGTACCCGATTTTAAGGTCCTAGGTCAACCGGTGACCTCTGAGGTCAGGTCAAGTGCCCCAAGGTACGGTTCAGTTTTTGGTGAATAACTTCGCAAAAAACGGCCGCAGAGCCGCGATTTTGGCAGCATCGTGTTCGCCTCGCTCAGGCGCGTCGAATGATATACTTTTTGTCCGGGTCAGGTCAACTTGGGGTGTTGACCTCAGGTCAAGGTCAGGTCAGCACCCCCAGGTCACGAAGTTGGTCGAAAGAGGTCATGTCGCATATCATTCGATTCGGCAGGTCTTCCTGAGTCCATTGGTGGCTTTCCCGACTCGCTAGCTCAATTTGATCAGGAGTTATTGACGAAAAACTAATGTGACCTTGATGACGTCAGAAATGACGTCACGCAAGGTCAATATTGCAAAAGTGACGCATCTAACCTTGCAAGGAGTGCATAAAATCACGATTCTGTGTGCTTGAGATAGTTGGAGATCGTTCCCGGCGCCAGAATAGCAGTTTTCATTTTTCCCCATTGGCTTATATATGAGGTCACGAAAATGACCTGACCTCATATGACCTTTAGGAAAAATCCGAGATATACAAGTTGTGAGACTCATAATGGATATTAGATCCTGCAAGTTTCATTTCCCTGTGACATCTCCTCTGGCAGTGAGGGCGTTGCGAAGTTGCGACATCTGGAGACCGTGCAGAGGTTCACTTATGACGTCATAGGTCAGTGACCTGACCTGACCCAAAAATGCGGTTGGTGTCAAAAGATGCAGCTTGGATCAAAGGTCAGGTATGCCAAGTTTCAGCTCTCTATCGTCAGCGTGTTCGGAGCTATCGCAAAAAAACCCTATGGGGGGCGGCACCCGCCCCCCCCCCCCTCGGCCGGCGAGGGTTAACTTCCTTTCTAATCGTTAGAATAAGTTCAGTCCAGTGGCGGCGTGCTCGTCTCTGAGTCATCCAACCCCGAGGTTTAATCCTGAAGATGACGATGATGCATCTCAGCGGTTCGGAGAATCTCCCACGTCCTGGGGAAATTATCGTAATCCACTGACTTGGCTACCTGAGACAGACTGGTTAGCTGCAAAAGCCACCAGATCTGCAATGAAGAAAAGTTCAAAGGGTTGAGCCTGCTTCTGCGGCTGTGCTCGTCGCTTTGGCCTTCGTCATTTTAGCTTGTCGCTCGATAATAAAATATTTGGATAATAAATAAGCATTTGGTAAAAATGCCTCCCTGTCGTATATTTAAAATTGACCCGTGTCGACCAGCTAGACCCTGCGACCCACCACCTCACTTTCATTCCGTTCCGTCAGGGGCGGGTCACGACCGTAGGCCGCCAGACTGCCGAGCTGCCGGACGGTACGCGCTGCCAACATCGCAATACACTGACCGACCACACAGAAGCCCCTCCGTGTGCCGAACTATTCAGCGCTCCGGTGATGAGCCGTTAGTTGAATGATGAACTGCACCTCGAACCGGTCTGCGGTAGTTAGGTAAATTGGGCAGCCGAAAATCGGCAGAAGCCGTTCGGAAATGATGCACTAAAACTAACTGGCTGATTATGAATGCATGCAGCACCGGTAACAATAAACGTAGCGATACCGCTGCAAGGGTCGGAATGTGAATCAAACGTCACAGCAGCCTGAGATTAATCATGACGTCGTCCGCGGTCGGACAATACATACTCGTACATACCATCAGGTATGTATGCGCAACATTGGCATGTAGGTGTACCTAAGTAACGACGCAAAAGAACGGCAGCGGTCGGCGCATTGTTGCCATTCCTATACTATACGCTCTCGGAATTATTAAACGCTTGTTGTAGCAGTAATACAACTTCAAGAATAAGCTTCAGGCTTTTTGCTCTGTTTTGTCATCGGCAATCTTTTTATCTTTTAACGAATGCAATAATATACTTGCACAATTATCCGCTCATTTCGTTTGTAAGAACATAAGTGCCTAAAACGTGGGATTCAGTATATCTCGGCGGCAAATGCCAATCAAGCTATTCGACAGGATATTTCCATTCCATCATATTTTTTTTCAGCTTACTTGTGCAGCAGCCTGGTTAACAATTTGACGTCAATCTTGACACAACTTCGAATAAATCTTATGATTCCATTGCCATTAAATGTCGAATTGAATTGAATTTTCTATATAAAAATATATCGTCCATATCACACACATGGGTTATCCTCTTCTGCATGCGGGCTGCTTTAGCTTATGGTAAATGCATTCAAACATTTTCTTTACAGTCACAACGTTACCGAGCATTTGTCCCCGTTCGCTGTGCAGTGTGCACTCAGTGCAGTCTGCATCCGGCCCCAATGCTGCTCGTGCCCCGCGTCGGTCACCTATATCCCTCCCCCTCCTCACTTCCCCTCGGGCACCACGGTACAATCAAGCCGTCAGGTGACAGACGGGTCACGTGGTCTGCACGTGACCCCTCAGAGCGTCACCCGTCGCCGACCCTCAGTGGGGTGTCGTGACACCCCCTCAACCCCACGCGAGTTGTCAGTCGGTGAACCCCTCCCCCCCCCTGCATCAACGTCGAGCACACCGGGCGCTGATCAATGGTATCAGTACCAGGGGTATCCGGTGTCAGTGAGTGTTAGGTGACACGCGCACCGACCAATACGCGGTCGAGAGCGATCGGGCGAAGGAGAGAGCGATTGGAGATGGTGCCGGGCACAAACAACTTCCATATTCGATACCTATAGGTCGCACTGACGCACAAACTTTAGCATAATGTTTTTCTTACAAGGAGCTTCTAATAATTGAACGCTGGAAAGCTAGAAATATTCACTGCATTGTTAATGAATCAATACTGTTGACGATTTTTACGAACAAATCAATAATCTATTCGGGCATTTTCGATGAGATGAACATGACCGATGTCAGTTTTTAATCAAAATGGCTGGCTAAACCGTACTCTAAGGGGCCCCACCCGGCCCGGGACACGGGGAGGCCCGGTGTGTGATCGTCTCGGCCCCGCCCGGGCCCGGGATGCCGTCCAGTCACGCCACAGATGAGGAAAAGCCGAGCCCGTGGCTGCCTCCCGCTGTGCGTGGCCTCTTCGGACGATCGTCCGGTCGTTTACCTCCGTCCTATACGCCCAGGCCTGTCATACACCTGCGTTATAGATCGGTTATTTATTTGTGGTGAAAGTGCTCGCACTAAAGATCACTTCAGCTTTGTGATGATCAAAAGGCTGACGAAGGTATTGTTCGTTTTGACAGTGGAAACGGTTGGCACGTGCCTTGTTACGCTGTTTGAAGTGTACATCTCGCGTGTGCACATCAAGTTCCATGATCGCTTGTCGTGAGCTTATCAACGCATTTATCACAGTTCCTACCTTCATAGAAGATCAGCCGGAGATGGAAGGGGACGGAAGGGGATGGGTGGGTAACGGGTATGGGTGGCGAGGATGGCGTAGGATGACCATGTCGAGGTCGCAGAGCTTGCCTTTATATACGTCTCGCGATAAGAGTTATTGGATGCGTCATCTCTGCCCAGTTGGCCTTTTAGAGAACGTGGAAAATTTCCACTACCGGCCGTTTGGTAAGCCCAGAGAACGTGCGCGGAGATCACGAGACAACACGAGAAGACTGGCGGGACTATTACGAATGGCGTGATAGCACGTAGGACAAGGAAGACGCTTAGAGCTGTCAGCTGGTCAATGGTTTGTGAAGCAGTGCCTATACAGTCGGCGAAGTTTCAGTGATTAGATATTTTAGCAGGGATGAACTTATATAAGTATGCATACAATTCAAAATTAGAGCAAAAATGGTCATGCCCATCAGCGATATGGACGACAGGATTATTATGCACATAGGTAAGTACCTACAAGTACGGGCTAATTGCCGTCTAACCGCATTTCTCTTTTTTAAGAATTATAAGTTATAACCTTATACAGAGCGGTTATGGCATGGGATATGTCTGGCCTTGTTCCGAAATAGACGGATGGGCGAATCACTTATTTCTTTACGGATTCTCAGAGACATGAAGCCTGAGCATCATAAATATTTCCGTTTAGCTTTGCTTTACAAAATGGATACAACTTCAACTCAGAATAAAAGGTCAACTTATCTGGCATTCAGTTCATTGTGAAAGGGGCCGACACCTCGCCTGGCACCGTCTCCACAGTTAACCGGTCAAGGGCCCTGCGGCGACCGTCATTCGGCAAAACAAGCAACGAAATCCGCTTATGAGTAGCTTTACGTCAACCGATCAGCCGCACGTGCAAAACAAATCTTGTTGCCGTGCTGTACTTGAAAAACAAACCATAAAAAAATCGTATTTCTGATATAGTTAGCGAAAGATGTCCAAATAGATGCTGCTTACTGCATAGGCGGCGGAACGGGGGACGGTGACTATGAACGGGGAGGGCACCGGGGCACCGTACCCCCTTTGATTTTGGCATTTTAATATTAGCCCTATGGGCTTTGCATGGAAAGAATGGGACCAAAAGTCGGCAGTGCCCCCCCCCCCTTAATTGAAGGTGTTCCGCCGCTACTGGCTTACTGCCAGTTTTAGCTTCCACACCTTTGTTTTGCCCAGTAGTCAGAACGCAGACATCAACATAGGTAAGGACTATTGGTGCCAATCGGAATTTCTTTTCTTGGAATTCCAATTTTTGTCCAATTCCAATTTGGAATTTGGACGGAATTCTTAACATTTTTTGGAAATTAATCGGAACACAAGGCCTTTAAAATTTAAAATCTTAAAACGGAGGCCTTTAAAACGCTTTTAAACACTTTTAAAATTTACGCAAAAAATGCAAAAATCGTTAAAAATTGGAATAGCCCCCGCTTTGGACAAAATTGGAAATTTACTTGGCAATTTCTTGGAATTGGATCGGAATTGGAATTGAAATTTCATGAAATTGGCACCACTAGTAAGGACTAAGGAGGGACTGCCTGATACCACGTGATGTATGTCGTTAGACTATATATTTCGTGCTTTTGCCATGCATTTTGTATGCTTAGTCATATCAAAGTCATATCAAAGTCATATCACGCATTATAACAGCCATTGATAGAAGACGTCACTTAGGTGCCAGCACGGCCCAAAAACCATGCGGCGTTTATGCAAATTTATGTAGCTTTATGTCAACCGATCAACATTGTGTACAAAACCATTCTTCTTCCAGATAGAAACGACGTAGTTCATCCCAGATCAGTCTAGCATGGCCCTCGCCTAACCCAGTGCTCGCCGCCACCAACGCCGGGCCGCGGGGTGTCAGAGCACCCCGCGGTTGGGCCTGTGTCCCACAACCACCCCCACCCCCACCTGTGCCCCACTCACGGTTCATTGTGCGTGCTGATCACCGTGTCATATCGGCCGGCAGAGCCCGCGGGCAGGTTAAGGTCACTCCCGTCCTGCACCACTGCATACGCAATCGGGTCAGCGTTCGGTTCGGCGGCACCAGCAGCGCGCACCAGCACCAGGAGGGTCACCAGCGGGGCGCACATGGTGTCGGTAGGGCGCGCTCACCGTCGGGGGCGCCCGCTCCGCGTCGCACCGCGCGCCGACGTCGACTGACCGTCCGTCTCCCGTCGACGGAGGGCGGGAGACGGGACCGACCGGGAGAGCGGACCGGACCTGACCGGGGGTGGAGAGGTGGGGACGAGAGGTGGGTGACATGGGACCAGACCGGGCCAGAGCTGGGGACAGCACCGAGAGGTGGGTGACATGGGACTCGACCGGACCAGAGTTGGGGACAGCACGGAGAGGTGGGCGACATGGGACTCGACCGGACCAGAGCTGGGGACAGCTCACCGAGAGGTGGGCGACATGGGACCCGGCCGGGCCAGAGTTGGGGACAGCACCGAGAGGTAGGCGACATGGGACCAGGGCGGGCCAGAACAGGGGACAGCTCACCGAGAGGTGGGCGACATGGGACCCGGCCGGGCCAGAGTTGGGGACAGCACCGAGAGGTGGGCGACATGGGACCCGGCCGGACCACAACTGGGGACAGCTCACCGGGAGGAGACGGCGAGAGGACGACACACGGCGCTGGCGAGATAAACGGAAACGGAGGAGAGCTGGGGACGGCACCGATACAGTTGGAGACGGGAGGCTGACAGCTAGAGTGGGCGACAAAGTGGGATGGGATGGGAATGGAATACGGGAGCGGGAGGGGCAGGTGCGAACGAACAGGGAGAGGAGAACGAGAGCAGGAAGCAGAAAGAACGGTCGAGGAGAGCGGCAATGTAAATGGAAATCTAGGAGTAGGCCAAAGTTATTGCGAGCAAAATAAGTGGCAACGAATACGTAAGATAAGAAAAAGGAAGTCCCCGATGGTAAATGGGCAGTGGATGGCGGAAAGAACTCGCTGCTTCCAATGGTAAAAACAAGAGGTCAAGTCTACATACAGGCCACCACGCCGAGTAGTAAAGTAATCTTGACCACGCCATGCTGGTGGAATGCGTTTTCTGTGTCGTGCTGGGGGAGGGGGAGGGGGCGTTTTCACGCCCCCCCCCCGTCTAACTCGGCTCCTGTGCTACGTAATGACACGTGGTAAGCGGCAATCGAAACAGCATAATGACGGAAACACTTCAGTCATTTTTAGGTCAGGTCTAAGGTCAGGTCGCCAGAGATCATCAAAGGTCGAATTTAGTCCATTTCATAATTTTGGAAACTGCCAACGGCTATCTCGGGAACCAATAGAGCTACAGGGTGCGCAAAAAGTTATGGCCCTCTTACAGTAAGCGCTCCTACGCGTGCTGCGGTTGCTTTTCGGGAAGCCAATAGCCGCACGCAATATCTTCAATGATCCAGTCATGGAGGCAGGCTAAACGTTACATTGTCGTTGGATACCCGCGCGCGGCGCGGCCGAATCGGGCATTACTGTTGAGCAGGTTGCGATGAAATTTGGAGCCCCCTGCGAACAATTACGCGTATCAAAGCCAAATACCAATAGGGGAGATTCTGGAATATGCCCCCCAGGTCAGACCGGTCACGTCCAGTCAAAACTCTGGGAATGTGACTGCCGTGTCTGTGGCCATCCAGGACAGCCCACGGCTCGGGCGGCAAAAAGTGCCCAACCGTCTTCATTAACGCCAATTAGAAGATAAATGGGACGATGTATGAGCGTCTGCTTGACAGTGACGTCATCCCATGGATCCTGAAGACGTATCCAAAAGTCGATTTCGTTTTCCAGCACTCAGCACTCAGCAGGATACTACACCCGCAAACAACGCAAGTTCCATCCAGCACAACCAAACGGCGGAGCTCGGGGGAGAAGCCCATTGTTGGCTTAATGACATATTGCCCCCTCAGTCACCCGACCTGAACCCCTTGACTAAAGCATCTAAAGCGTTTTGCAGGATGAGGTCCAGGGAGTGTCCCATCCCAATTTGGAGGCCCTGAAGGCACACATCGTGAACATGTGGGAGACGAAGGACCACACCTACATCATCAAGATATGCAAGTCTTTCCGCCTACGTGTGGAGAAGGTCATTGCCGATAGGGGGGTTATACCTATCGCGCATGAGGTGAGTGAACGTATCTGGTTTGATAATGCAAACCAATATTTGGTGTTAGCGTTAAAGGAAAAGGGCCACCTTTAACATGGGGATTGAAACTGAGATAGCCATCTTGTAGCCCGTGTCCGAAAACCTCTAAGTTTACCTCCTTACGGCCGATTTCGGCCTCCATTCGTAGTTATCGGCAATTTTAAAAGAAAATGCGCCAGGAATGCGTCCTTATCCCAGGAATGCGTTCTTATCCGACAATACAGCCACCCGCGGCGAGGCTTTGGTTTTTTACCAATCAGCTCCAACCAGCTCAGCTTTAACCAATCAGCTTATCTGACACAATCCGACGAGTCTGTCTTCTGAACGCTGATTGGCTTGAGTGTGACGTCATCGCTATGCCATCATAGGGGAAGCCGGGGGAAGCCCGGCATAGTAAGCTCTTTTTCATTTTTATTACATACCATACGTGCTGTATAAAATGTTGATATCCTGCTAGCTAGCTAAGTTCATTGGCCGTGTTTTCCCAAAAATTCGGTTTCGTGGAATTAGTATAAGGTTTAGAAAATCGAGTTTTAAAAAAGTGTTGATTTTTCTGGGGTAAGCCCGGCATAGGGGTAACGCCGGCCACCTCCCCAGCGCTTTACAACGAGTTGATGAAACCATTATGTGTTTTCCAAATATTAACGGAAAGTGAAATATTAAGGTACTGATTAGCTCTGGACATCTTAGAGTTTATGTCACTACTGGTATTTTAGCTAGCGTCTACTACATATACAGTACAGGTCGATGAAAATCGTGATGCAAAATTGACAAAAAATGTGTATTTCAAAATTCCTTAAAATTTATTTTTCTTTTTACCTTAATGCATCATATTGCATATCATTCGACTCGGCTGATGAAGAAGAACACAACGACACCATTTTTGAAGCTCTAGCTTCATTGTCTGTCGCGTTATCTGCAAAAACGTAGTTTGACCCTAGTTGACCTTAAGTGAGATGACTGGCTTTGTCTATGATAACATGTTTATTTTCGAAATTTATCTTTGATCTAGGTGTAAACCAAACCTGCTCAGTACCTGATATCTCATAGAAAACAGTGGTTTAGTGGCATTGCTCTCGGTTGGGGGAAAGCTTGGCCACTCGCCCGGGGTTACCCCAATGTGCTAATATTTATTTTAAAACAGCGATATTCGAAAAAAATGTCATACTTAAAGGGACCCTCCCACCTTCAAAAAAGTTAATGAATTGGCATGAAAGTGATGTCGCTCGGTTCAGAAAGAGCAAAAACGAATATCTACCAAATTTCATCGAAAAATATTCACCGGTTTTCAAGATATAAGACTTTTACTTTTGTTTACTTTTTGGGATCTCCGCTGTTCCTAGCGACTTTATTTGAAAGTGCGGCATTTGTTGCGCGCAAAGCAGCATATACCACCGCGTGCTACAAAACGTTTTAGTCAAACATTTAACGGACGTTCGAAAGCCTGATGACGTCATCAGATTCCCGTAATGGTTAAGAGATAGGGACCACGCTGGTCCCACCCTGCAAGTAAAGGGAAGAAATTTCTTGAACACCATAAAGCTGCGGGGGTTGCGACCAGGATAAATGGTGGTTTCTGAGCCTGGCCGCAAACTTGGCTATCTCAACTCAAAACTAATGTTAAGGTGGGAGGGTCCCTTTAAGCCAGCCTGCCTAGTCACCCCTCACTACAAACACTTAAACGGTCCTTACATAACATTCGTATAAATATTTGTACTGTATGGTATAACATTAACAGGGCAACATATCTCACTTTTTAGCTAAAAACCCTTAAAATATCATTTTTGCGCTATAACTTTAACAATATGCAATTTTTGTCAGCCTCAACTTTTTTGCTGGCGTCACCTTAGCTGCCACGCTGAAAGGACAAACAGTTGAGCATTTTATTGTGAATAATTTAGCCGGAAACGGGGTGGCCGGGCTTCCCCCGCGCCCGGGCTTCCCCCGGCTTCCCCTACAGTAGGTGCCGTAGAGAGTATCAACATAGTACCAATATGTTAAATAGTTTTAAATACTTTTTCGCGAATTGTGCACTTCTGGCACCAGTTTTAAAAAGAAAATGAAAAATAATAATGTCAAAATGAAAAACAACGATATCTTCATATTTCACGAAGGTGGCCCTTTTCCTTTAATACCTAATATTCACTCCGATTGCATTCGTTTATCGAAGTACCTACAGAAATGGGCCAGAATTTTGCGCAACCTGTAGGAGAGAGTGGGGTAAGATGCCCAGGGTGGGAAAGACGCCCCACCCCCTCTAGCGGGGAAACGAATCGAACCGGGAAATTAATGTTCTTAGCGTAAAGCGGAAGCCTGCCTTGTTAACTGCACAAAAATTCAAAGCTCAGTTGGGCAACGGCTGGCTGGTGATTGCATGTTTTTTATTTGCTGCTTTCAAAAAAATATTTTGGCGTCAAAACATTGTAAATATCAAAGAAGGTAGATAATTTTTGCGTCCCTTGCTATAGTCGTGATACATTTACATGCGTGTACTGTGTCCCAAACAGTTTGTTTCAGGGTGTAGTTTTATGGGTAACAAATTGTGCTGATTTAATGTTACTTCGGTACCTTGGGGTAAGATGCCCCCTGTCCTGATGGGGAAAGACGCCCCCCTAAATCCGTAGGCTGTCCTTCAAGCAGCCCGTCAAATCATTTATTACATACTTGTGATGAGAGACAAAACCCGATCTGGGACTATTGAGAGTCCGGTACGGTCAGGTGCTCCCCATGCCGGTCTCTCGGCCCACACAGCGACTTTTTGGGCGGAATCTGACTCTGAGAGCCCTCACGAAGGCCTCTGTGGGCCCCATTATTGACTCCAGGGTCCCTCACGACATCCTTTGAGGGCTCCAACGTTGGCCCCACGGGCCGCGCTGGCATCTGAGGTCCCCACGATGGGCTCGAGGGCCCTCAAGCATCATGAAGACCTATAAGGGCCCCACAGTGGTCTCCGAACGCCACCACGGAGGCTTGTTTGGCCACGCTGGACTATGATGGCCCTAACGATGACCTCTGAAGTCCCTTACGACTACTTTTGAGGGCCCTTACGATGAAGTTTGGTGTCTACTGCAGGCTCGAAGGGACTACTGATTCGTTCAGGCGATTCACGTGCCTATTTATGTCAGTTATAGTGCAGGGGGCATCTTACCCAACGCCAGGGGGCGTCTTCCCCACCCTGTGGGGTAAGATGCCCCCTTTCACTTATTCAGGAAAATGCTTAATAACAAAAGAAGTTATCATATTTCAGGCACGAAAGTGTGATATTTTAGGAGAAAAATGATGTCGGCTTCCGTTGAAACTCCAAGTTTTGGCTTTCCGATCGTCATTTTCGAATAATATATGACATAGTCAAACCCTGGGCATCTTTCCCCACTCTCCCCTACCTACAGTGCCGCAGAAAAACGTATTCGATAGCCGTTTTACAGACCTTTCTGAATATTGCTCTCAGATTTGACCTCAGGTCAACAGTTTGGCCTCCAGAGGGCAAAACCTAAAAAGTAGCTGTTTTCACGAAAAATGTCCGGTAATAACTTTGACTCAAGAGAGCCATGACATTACTTTTGCCAGCATCGTGTTCCTCTCGTCGAGACGCGTTGCATGAACCATAAGTTGGACTTTAAAGGTCATTTTGAAAATTTGACCTCAGGTCAACGTCATAACCTGACTGGAAAGGGTCATGTTGCATATCAGTCGATCCGTATCGTCGAGCTGAACACATCTGACGTGTTTTGACCGCTCTAGCACGACTCTATCAAAAATTGTAGTAAAAAACTGCTGGTGACCTTTCATGACCTGAGATGACCTCAGGGGCACACAGAAGGGGTCACAGGTGCATTTTTCCCGATTCAGTGTGTCATGTGTTTACCTATAACTGATGTTTTAGAGGGTTTAACACGCGCACTGCAGCGGGTCTGAGCCGAACACGAACTGCAGGGGGGGGGGGGGGTTGAAAACAACCCCCCCCCTTAGATCTCGAAAACGGCGCAACGTAACGACAAGCGGTAAACGGCGTTGGATAGGTTGCGATGAGATCTACAAGAAATACTAAGATAATTTTTGGGTCAGGTCAAAAACGAGGTCACCAGAGGTCACCGAAGACAAAATGTTACGATTTTCACAACAGGAATTTCGCGGTAGTTTTTCTTGAATAACTTGTCTTGCACACAAGACAGAGGATCGATTCGAACGCCATCGTTCTTAGCTCGTCAAGGCGCATCGAATGATATATAATATGACCTCGAAAGGTCAAGTTGAAAATTTGACCTCAGGTCAAGGTCATGACCTGACCGAAATAGGTCATGTTGCATATCATTCGATCCGCATTGACGAGAAAAACACGATAAACGTCGAACGGAGTCTCTATCTCTATTCAATCTCAAGTTATTGAAGAAAAACCGCTGGTGACCTCAGGTGACCTAAGATGACCTGGAGATCACCTTCCAAAGGTCATAAGTGATATGTTTCGGTGAAATCACCAACAGGGACCTGTAATACTATGATCCTGAGCGTATTGAAGTCATAGGATGGCATTCAGAGTAAGTTGAAATTTCTCCCATTGACTTATAATGGGCCGGTCGCAAAAATGACCTGACCTTAGGTCATCGATATAAAAATTCCGAGATATACAAGTTGTAGCTCGTGATGACTTTACTATTTCCTGTGGGTTTCAAGATCATATCTCAACAACTGTGGGCTTGGTGGGATTGCACACTTCGAAATTTACGTTTCGAGGTAGGGTCACTTGACCTGACCTGGTGACCTGACCATAGGTCACCTGGGGTCAAAATTTTTACTCAAGGTGTGCAAAAGTTGGGAGAACAGGTATGCAAAATTTGGCGGCGCTACGCGCCGCCGTTTTCTCGCGATTTGCGAAAAACCACAGGGGGGGGTTGAAAACAACCCCCCCCTGCAGTGCGCGTGTTAAGACGACATTCGTCCAGAAGAGGCGCATTTCAATTTAGTCTCCAAAGACTGATGATGGAGACGTTGCAAAAATGACCTGACCTTCGGTCACATATATAAAAAATATGAGATGCACATTTTATACATACTGTTACTGTTATCAATCGCTGAAGGTTTCGAAGTGATCGTTCAGTCGGTATAGCCCTATTGCGAGCCTTTGAACTTTTTTAGGTAAGGTCACTTGAGGTGACCTGATGGCCTGGCCTTAAACGACCCGGGTCTGAAATTTTTACAGGTGCGGAAAGGATGCAAACATGTGAACCAAAAAACGGCGGCGCTGCGCGTTGCCACTTTTTTTTTAGATATTCGCGAAAAGCCCGAGGGAGGGAGGGGGGTTGTAAAACGCCTCACCCTCCCACAGCACGGCGCGGGTCCTCACCGGCACAGCCATGTTGCATCCCTCGACGGCACAAGTGGGGGGGGGGGGGGAGGTACGACCCCTCTCGCGTTTGGCCCCTGATCGAGCTAGAGCTTCGCGGAAAAAACGAACCTGTTGCCCGTGACAAGAGGAAGCTGGTGATAGCCAATTTTAAAGTCCATAGGTCATCAGTTGACCTTCCAGGTCAGGTCAATGACCCGAAAGTCGGGAACATCGGGACCTGTTAGAACGTCATAAAGTGTGGCTGCTATGGGTTTTTTTTTTTCGGGGCATAGGCGGCGGAACGGGGAGGGCACCGGGGCACCGTGCCCCCCTTTGATTTACGAGCGAGCGAGCGTAGCGAGTCTTTTCAATATAACGGAAAAATCTCAGTATGAGCGGCCCGGCCCCGCCCGGCCTGTAACGCTTTTGAGAGGCTTATATCTCAGCAACCGCTGGACCGATTGGCCTGCGGTCTTTTTTGCTGGGTAGCCGGATCCCCATCCCTTCTACCCCTTAATTGACTACTTTTGATACATCTCAGTGACCGTCGTGGCACGTGCCACGTGAAAAGTCAAGGGTGTTCAAGCTGTTTTGCAAAAGTAGTGATTTTGAGAGGCCCATATCTCAGCAGCCGCTTGGGTGATTGTCTTGCGGTAATTTTTGTAGGGTAGCTGCATCCCTTCTAACAAAGGTCAGATACTCTTGACCTATGTGAACGACCCCCACTGCACGTGCAAAATGCAAAAAGAAGAGGTGCCAAATTTGTTCCCATTTCAATAACTCGGTAATTACTCGGGCGATTTCGCTGAAATTTGGCATACAGGTAGGCACCCACCAGGCAATGCATTCCCATGTGTTGCGGTTTGGGTGCTACTGCACGTGCGCACGTGCAGGGGCGCTCCCAGATCTCGAGAACGGCTGGGCCGATTGCGCTCAAATTTGGTACACGGTTGGGGGCCAGTAGTAGGGTGCCGTGCAAAAGTCAGTTTGGACCCCGTTTGCACGTGCGCACGTGCAGAATGCCGCTTCCAGATCTCAGGAACGGCTGGGCCGATTGCGTTCAAATTTGGCACACCGCTAGCGACCGGTTAGAAGGGTGCTTTGCACAAGCCCGTTGGAAGTATCCTCTCGCCCTTCCGCACGTGCAGGGCTCACTAGCTCACTCGCTCGTTCTTCGCCCAACTGGTTATTATTGTACGGTACGATTGTTGATTCGAGCCGGCAGGTTTCCTTGGTTCATTGACGTTAGTCGTTACAATATTTTCAAAAAGGGTAAATATGATTTATCTGGTTTAAAACTATTTTCATCAATCCCCCATTGAGCCAGTTCACATACAAAAATCAGTCACGTTATGTATTAAAATGCACACGCTTAAATATGGTTTTTCACGTACACTGGAAAGAGCTCACTGCTCAACACCATCATGGAACATAATACGCAGATGCAAATTGATTGTGCTCCTTTGTAGCCTACTTGAGATATTTGAGATGAGGTATTCGCGAACAGTCGTGAAACACCCAGAGATGGAATATCATGATCTGGCCGTCGCCTGTCTACATTTCATGATTTTTGACATACGATTGCAAAAGTCTTAATTCGCATACAAAACTGATAGCTCCTGTGGAGGGAGCCTCGCGGCAGTAAACAGCTAATTGTGTCCACTCGGTGATTTGCCTGTCGGTCGGTGGTCGGGGCGGGACGCGGTTTGACCAACCCGCTTCACAAAGCCGCCCTTTGAACACGGCCACACGCCGAGGACGGGCTGAGAATCTCACTCCGGCTCCACTGGCCAAACGCCGACCACGTCACATCCAGTTACGGCTCGTCACACTCCGACCAAAGCCCCGCGACAGTCTCATCGCAGCCCTGCCGTAGTTCCGCCCTCCCGCCGGTCATATTATGACTTTGTCAGAGCCCACCGGTCTCTCAGTTCGCCCCAGGTCCGTCAGTCCCTTAAAACCCCGTCCATTTCACCCCTCCCGGCCGTCGCCACCGCTGGACGGACGCATAGTCAGATCGCGGGCGACAGTCGGTGCCCGCCCGGCCCAGTCACCCCAGCCCCACCGGGTGGCAGGCGGTGTCAGGGCTTGGGCAGCTGCAGCGAGCGGGCCAGCAGCGCGCCCGTCGCCTGAGTCGTGTCACCGTTAAACCTTCTTAGCTCTTGGACGACCTGCGGGGAACAGCACAGGAGTCAGCTCAGCGGAGGAACGGGAAGAGGGGGATGGAGGAGAGGGGAGAGAGACGGCCGGAGAAAAAGAAGTTTCACAAGTTCAATAGAGAGAAGCTAAACGTATTAGTAAACTAATCTTGGCTAAACGAATAAAGATAATATTCATTCGTTCGTAAGAATGCATTCGTCTTTTGGCGACATAACACTTTAAAGACACGGCTAGGCGAGACGATGCTGAACTAGAAGTAACTACGATTTGCGTCTACGACAGGGCCTATGAATGCCATAAGAGTAGCCTCAAGCGCTACAGCACCAACGCAATACAGTGATAAGTAGCGATACACTGCAATGGCAGCACCGGCGGATCACATACCTGCTGACGTGTAAAGCCCAATTTGACTATTGACGCCACGTCAGCCTCGGAAAACTTGTCTGTTGGCGTCAGCTGATCCCCAGCGCCGGCCCCGGAGGCGGCGGGGGCGGGGGCGGCCGGGGCAGCAGCAGAGGCGGGGTTGGGGGAGGGGGCGGCAGCAGGGGCAGACGGGCCAGCCGCACCCGACGCGGCTGCAACAGAGAGGCGTTCTAGCGAAACGCAGCAGTAGAGCGGCAATGGCGAGGGGGAAAGACTAGCAGTGCGACTCTACCCGACCCTCTAAAGCATTGTACCTTACTTTTATGTGATGTAAGCCCATACGTCAAGCATGAGCCTTGAACATGGTATAATATGATCAACGACTTTTAATCATTTCATCCTAAGACCTAAACACTCCTTTTGAGGTAGGAGCCAAAGAAGATAGCACACGCACAGCTACTTAGCGTAAACAAATTCAACAGCCTAGCCAAGCCCAAAAGCCTAACCCCTACCAAGCCCCATAGTCTGTTCCATATCAAGCTTGCAGTCAGAGTTTCTTTGGCAGATCGCTCCTCCGCTCAAGAATTTGCGTCTTAAAATGTAAGAGCTGTATATACATAAATCACGCACTGCTTTCAGCAGGGCACTTCGGCTGCAAGCTTGAAACGGAACAGAGTATAGACTATAACCATATGCTCTGCGCAGTCACGGTCACCGCGGCACTCACCGGCGGCGGCTGCGGCGCTCTCTCTCAGCGCGCGCGCCATCTCGGCGTCGGCCGTCTCCATGGGCTCGCCACCCGACTCCGTGCCGCCGCTGAGCCGCGCGCACGGCGGCAGATCCGACTCCGAGAGGAACGGCGTGCTCGTGGACGTGGTGCCGATGTGCAGCACGTTCGCCTTCAGATCGATCAGACACTGGAGATAGAGAACAAGTCAGAGGCTGGAGGGAGGCAGGTCAGGCCCAGAATGACGACAGGGCGACGGAGAAAAGATACACAGAAACTAAGTTGTTGACACGGGCCAGAGCCGAAGGCGCGAATGCTAGAACTTTCAGCCCTCCAAGGATCAAGTGGTAAGTGGATCAAGTGAATTAAGTAGAGTAATTTTACTGAAGTGTTTGTGTCATTTAAAGTTATTATCCCAAAAACAAATCGGCTGACCAGCCACTCTTGCTGGAGAGCCGTACACGAGCCTGATAGAACAGGCTGCCGTCTCACCTGATGTCTCTTCAGCATGTCCAGTCCGAGTAGCATGTCCATGGGCTGCTCTTCCAGGATAGAGAACGACGACGTCAGGAACACGTCCTCGATCTGGATCTGACCCATGTGCACCCGACCGAGGATGCGCTGCGTGCCGACGCCCTTGGCCACGCCGGACCAGCGTGTGTCCACCAGGCGCATGATGTGACACCGCTCGGCGCACGCCGCTGACATAATGGTTGTCTGGGCGCCTGTGGGGAATGATGGCACCGGTCAGACACGCTGATACACAGAGTGAAGTGTCCCAGTCTCCCTATGGCAGTCGCGGCGGCCGAGCCGCGGAGCTATGCTATAGACGGCAGAGAACGGGCTGATGGAGATGCCCAAGGCTCACACATTCGACTGGTGCACAAAATACAATCGCAAATATGTAACTGCTCAATGTACAATTATGTCTATAGGCGAATTATCCATCTCAGTTAATTCCTTTCACCAAATGTCATAGACGGTGGCTCTCCTTCCCATTCCACCACTTCCTTCTAAAACTGACTGACTATGGATGTGAATGAGTGAAACAGTGCCTGCGTCAGCGACTGACCCGAGTCGATGAAGGCCTTGACGGGGTGTCCGTTGACGCGGCAGTTGATGTAGAGCATCACCACGGATCCGAAGCTCTCCGGGTGGTGCTCCAGCGCCGCCTCCATGTTGGCGTCGATGTTCTTCTGGCGAATCTCCTCGGCAATCAGCCGCTGCGCCTCGGCGTCGAACGGGTCCGCCGACAGCATCCGCATGCGCATCCGCTCGCGGTCGGCGCGCGCCTTCTGCTGCTCGTTCAGCACCGCCGTGAAACGCTCTGCGAGAGGACGAGGGAGTAGACCGTGAAACGCTCTGCAAGGGAATGGGGGAGTAAGCCGATTGGGGAGTAGAACGATCTGCAAAGGGACGGAGGAGTAAGCTATGAAACGTTCTGCATAAAGGAGAGAGAATGTCATGAAAGCTCTGAGAATGATTATAAACACGAGCCCTTCCGTATCCCGTACGAAAGGTGGTTAATATCTCTACCCAAAACAGGAATATCAAGAGCTGCATAGTCAGCCTGGGGGGGGGGGGGGGCAAGAGATATTTAATGAATCAGTCTGTACTCAGTTCATCAGCCAGTAGCAAAAAAGGGCGACATCGACATCAGTATTCTGTTAATTCTGTTTTCCGCTCAAATCAAACCAAACAGTCACAGTTGGCCGGATATTGACCTTAAGACACTCTCCTCCTCCAACCGTATTCATTCATTACTGCTTAGCCCTTCTGGTCCGCTATGAATACCCATGCCAACTGACCGAGGTCGTTGCTGAGCAGGGCGTCGGCCAGCCGCGGGTTGTTTTGTTTGAGCAGTGCCAGCTGGTCGCGGTTGGCCAGGAACATGTCGCGGATGAAGCGCGGGTCATCCTGCTGCGCCGCCGTCGCGCCGCTGCCGCCACCTGTCATACAGACAGCGAACTAGAGTGTGTGTATCACGTCGCTAGGACAGCGAGGAACCTTTTACCCCGACGTGATATTACGAGCAAAAATGTTCGGAAGCACCCATCAGCATATTTTAACGCTAGGTTTACACCAATTGTTTTCGCTTACACAATCTGATCAACTTAAAGCACACAACATATTACTAACAAACTTTAAGCATCGCAAACTTCCTCACCCTATTCGGTCCCAGTCCGTATTGTGATCACTCAGATGGTAGCCAGCTCCTTCCACTCGTTCCAGCAACCCTACTGTTCTCCCATGTTTAACCACGTGAAGGCAATGCTTTCCCTTCCCACTCTCTGCTTCTCTCTTTCCTCGATGACGGTACACCCTATCCCACCACTGTTTCTTCATATCAGTAACTCTGCCCCCCCCCCTCCTCTCCGACTCGTCTGTACCGGGCTGCGGCTGGACGGGAGGCGCGGCCGGCGGCTGCAGCGCCTCCACCAGCAGCACGTCGTCCTCCTTGATGCCGGTGTCGCGCAGGCTCTTCTTGTCGTCCGTCAGCCGGCGGCCGTCGTGCAGCAGAATCATCTGGTCCGAGCTGATACCCGTCTCCACCTGGTGGGCGGGGAACGTGGCAGCGTCAGGCGGTGTGGTGTATCTGTGTTCGGTTCAGCAGAGACCGGCCGCGGGCATAGTGAACCAATGGTACCTGTTGAAAAATATGACTAGACATTGCTGAATTTATATTATACATTTGGCTGGAACGTTTGAATGGTTGGATTGACAGAGCCAGAGCCTTTGCAAAGCAGAGCTTGTTGCGTAGACCCCGACCCTTACAGTCCGATCGCGCAATGCCGGGTAACGGAATAGTTTAAGTTTGTGCCCTTCAAAGCCGGACACGGCCTGTCCCACTCAACGGACTTCAACTGGCTGCGGCTGCTCCCACCAGCCGGATGCCATCCCATCAGGAGTCTCAAATGTCTAGCGCCCGATTGATTCGAGCTTGGGCTCTCGCTACCAGGAGTTCAATGCTGTACCAACTGAGCTATGACACAGGTCAATGAGGCTAATGCATCATAGAAGCACACGTCTCAGTGAAACTAACTTATATAATGTCAAGGCCAAACTAACCTTCTATTAGGTCAGGTTAATGACTGTTATTGCTTCTCCACCCCTGCAATACATATGCTTACACAGCCCGTAGCCCTACCTGAACAAAAGCCCTGAGGTTCTCCAGCTCGAGATCATCGCTGACGTCCAGCTGGTACAACTCTCCAGACACAGTTGTCACAGTCAGACGCATGGCTGCACTGTGCACACCTGGAAAATATCAAACAGGCGGGTGAGCAGCAGGCACAGAAGCTTACTGAGAGACTGGGGCGCATGCAAAGTTACGCCGAACGTGCGCTGAAGTTTTTGGCACAATCCCGCCACTATGCCAGACATATTCGGCAAAACATGTATTTTTTCCAGTCTGGGTCAGCAGAATTAAGACCACAGGCTTGGTAACAAATACCTATCATAACCGCACCTCAGTTGGGCAAACTAGACTTTTGGAATCAAAATATGGAGGCATCAATAATTTGATTCTGGTGGGAGGAGCCATGACCAAATATGGGCATGGAATCAATTTTTTGATTCATTTGGGTACACTTTTGACTTCAAATGTATCGTTACGGTTGAAAAAAGGCCCATGACGGTGAGATTTTTCTTTAAAAAGGTAGAAAAATGTGGTAGGTTTGCAAAAAGTGTTACCTCAAAACTAAGAAATTGTCCCTTTGGCCTTGTGAATGGGAAAAAGACAGAGGCACTGTCCATCACGTAAAAGCTGTTTTGAGGAAATCACACTGTATGTTATTTTTGTATCATGAATCACATACTAAACAATCAGTATTTGTGTAAAATGGCAAAATGAAATTTTCAAACCTCTTAATATCATTGTTGTAGTGCTTTTACATTTATTATATGGTTTTTACCTGTTGCTTCAGTTTTTGCATTCTTGACATTTCAAAATTGTGAATTGTTATCAAATGTAGTGAAGGTAAAGTGCAACAATGCTATAGGTATCTGTTGTGGTGCTGAGGATACCACTAAATGAGAATAATAGCAAGATAAATGCTGTATTCTTGCAAGTCATTGTTGCCTATCTGTTAACATTACCTGTGAATCAAAATAATGATTAGCCAGCTGACGGGGAATCAATATTATGATTATCTGTTTAAAGTGAATCAATTCCTTGATTTCCTTTCACTACCTATAGAATTCAAATTGTTGTGATAGGAGCAATATTATTTTGCTTAGGAGATACTTCCAGCATTTCTGTTCAAGATCAGGCATGCTCCTTCTTGAAACACTCTCTTATTTTTAAGTGTTTTGTAAGTTAGAAATGGTCTGCATTTATGCCCAAATATGGTCATAAGGAATCAATCTTTTGATGCCTCCATATTTTGATTCCAAAGGTCTAGTTTGCCCAACTGACCTTGGACTGTTAAAAGCACGCAAGCAAGATGCCTGCTTAAAGCCAGTTCTGGTTCACAAGTTTTGTGAACGAATGAATGTAAAAATTCCAGCTAGCCACTAGGTAGGTGCCTAACTACGCCGTAGGCAGCAAGTAACAAAAGCTTAATGACATTTAAGCAGGAACAAAGCTCACAATCCTCAAGTCAGAATTAATTGATATTTTGATATTCTTTAATTTGTTTCAAAATCCCAACAAAGAAATGCGCCCAACTCAAAGTATGCACCCTGACCGGACCAAGATCCGGATTACAGAGCAGACCACAGAACCCACACCAACACAGGAATTCTACAGCCTTCTGCCTTGCCAACACAGAAAACAAGGACCGACAATGACTTGCAAACAAACACTGCAGATTTCTAGGACAATGAGCTGTCACTTTTCACAGAAAATACATTGGCCTAATGTTCTAATTAAAAGTAAGTTACGAAATCTATCTGCGTGAGCCGCTATCAACAAATAAAAAGCAAGACTGCTTGACCCGAAGCGCGGTTACGGAATTTTCGAACAAGACATTTATTGGCGCATGTAGTTCATTCATCAAGCTTTCTGTTTTTCTTCATTACTGGCGTGCTAAAATACAGCTCTATTGCTTAATAGCAGAAAAACCTTAAAATAACACTAAGCACTGCTAGAGTTTCGTAGATGCAGACTGGAGGATCATCAGTCTCTCTCAGGATAAGCAAAAGTTGACGCTGAATAACACTAGCCTTAACCCGCGCCCCGTAGGGCTACCGGCGGACCCTACCACCCGTAGGGGGGGGGCCGTTTCGGCCCCCCCCCCCTAAGATCTCGGAAAGTTACCGGCCGGTTTTCAAAATTCAAACGGCGTTTGATAGCCCTACCCGGGAACTACCTTGTGACCAAATTTCATTGACCTAGGTCAAACCGATGACGTCACAGGTCAGGTCAAAGGTCAGATTTTCACCGTTCACAGGCAATTCAAGAAATGTGCTGTGAAATCGAGAAAATTGGTAATTTATTGAAAACCATCGATGGTATATTGTTCGTCAAACACATACTTTGCTATCTGAGGTCACTGATACCAGGTCAGGTCACAGCGAGGTCAGGTCACCGGGGGTCACAATATGAATGTGTCGTATGATACATGTTTTATGGTCCATTTTACATGACAAATGCGATTATGTGGGTTAGGCAGCCTTTGGGGCCAGCCTAGGTCACGTTTTGGTGAAGGTCAAGTCAAGGTCAGGTCAAATTAGGTCAAATTTCAAAGTTGATATTTTTGCATAAAATGGGTATCCATTCGATGCAGCTCGTCACGGGGAGTCTAATGGTGGTCTTTGTTTTGCTCTACGAGTTCTAGAATTGTCAAAAATTGAGTTTGAAAATTTGACGTCATCATTTTTGAACAGTTTTTTCGCTATAACTTGGCCAAAAAACGAGGTATCGATCTGAAATTTGGTATGTAGATAGAAGACGGTAGGTACTATCACATATATTCCGGTTTTTTCGAAACTCAAAAAACTGTTTGGATTTTTTGGCTAATATATCCAAAAAAATGCTTTTTTGATTTTTGGGGATCAAAACTCAAAAATTTCAAAAATCGGAGATAGCAGTTTTGTAGCCCTGTCAATTCTACACCTTTTATGTCTTGATCATTTTTCTGTATCTTCAAAGCTGTAGGCTTGACAGGTCTTCTCGCGAAGGTCTTTTTTCGGTCGAAAATGACAGAACATGACGTCACTCTGACGTCATTTGTGGCCAACCTATCACAGCCTCTGGAAAAATTTTTGGTCACAATGTGTAAATTTGATGCCCGGAGGGGTCCTGAAAGTTTGGTGGCGATATCTCCAGCCGTTTAGGAGATATCGACCGAAAAGGACAGGGGGGGCCGTTTCGGCCCCCCCCCTACGGGGCGCGGGTTAACACGCGCACCGACGGGGGGGGGCGGAGCGGATATCCGCCCCCCCCCCTGAGGTTTTTCGCGAATAGCGGGAAAACCGCGGCGCCTAGCGCCGCGAAATTTGGTACGACTATTCTCTCATCAATTTTACACATTGTGTGCAAGTTTGAACCTCCTAACTTTTAAGGTCAGGTCACCAGGTCACTTTGAATGACCCAACCTCAAGTCACTTTTTTGCAACTTTGTCACCGTGCCAGAGCTACAGTAGATGTCGGAGGCCTTTGAAAGTCGCGGGATGTTATGAGGTCATTAGTAGCTACAATTTGTATATCTCGGAATTTTGATATCGGTGACCTAAGGTCAGGTCAATTTCTCGACCTCCCCATTATAAGTCAATGGGGGAAAAATCAACTCCCTGTTTTTACCACTAAAACGGGTCGGAATGGCACTATATACCATACATGACTTTATATACGATCAACCTTCACTACCTTGAGGTCTGTTTTGCTGTTGGGCAGCTGTAAGGTCATGTGACGTCATCAAAGGTCACCAGCGGTTTTTTGCCAATAACTCCGTACAGGAACAAGATACAGCCGCGCGAATGGTCTCATTGTGTTCAGCTCGTCAAGACGCATCGAATGATATATGATGACTTCGAGGTTACGTGACCTGAGGTCAACCTTTGACCTTGACCTTTCGAGGTCAACATATATATCATTCGATGCGGATTGACGAGAGGATCACGATGGTGCCCCTAGTTTGTTCCTATCTTGACTAGTTCGAAAGTTATTCGAGAAAAACTCTCCCCATATCTAGCGCCGCCATTTCGACTTTTTTGACCCCTGTGACGTCATCTTTGACCTGACCTGAAAATGACCTTTGTAAAAATGTAGACCTTGTCCGTGCGTATCCGATGCCGTTTACCGCTTGTCGCTATCTTGCTTCGTTCTCGAGATCTTAGGGGGGGGCGGTCATCCCCCCCCCCCCCGTCGGTGCGAAGTTGGCGCAGACCACCGTCGGTGCGCGGGTTAAAATGAAACAAACGACGATCAGGACTATTCGACTGCCAACCCTACGGCGGTATAGTTCTCACTCTCAGGAATAACCTCATATATTGAGACTCATGTAGGGCTGGAATCACGACGAAGGGGCTAGGGACTTGGAAGTCCCCAGTAGCCAATTTCATTGTCGTTTCGATTATGGTGACCTCGGTCCTCGACCGGGACCTGCAATCTGCATAAGTGACCATCGCCATCGCTTATTGCAGTCAGTCACCATGTATTTTACCAGCCAACAGGCCAATCGAAACGAAAGCGTTGCGTTACCATATTCATTTTGTCATACCTATGTTATCAGTTGGAACTTGGAATGCTTCTTGAGGGCAGGTGCATGTGTCACTGGTGTTAGTTGTCGGTTTTTCATCCCGGGCTCGCCCGTATTGAGTTGAAAACTGAAATCATGTTGGCTTTACAACGTTTCCGCCAGTTTCTTCTCCGCCGTCGTCAGACTTTTCACCTTTAGAAGGACCAGGAAGTTGGTGGCGTTGCGCCGAACGCGTACCTAATAGGTACCTACCCTTCGAAAGCTCCTTTGGTCAGCGAGTAGGTAGGTAATAAAGGTATACAGGGTGTCCGGAAAGTCCTGGCGCTTCTTTTGGACGCCGTGTAACGCGCGCTGTGATTATTGGACATTCAGCCAATCATCACAGACATGACCCCTCGTTGATTGCTCAGCCAGGGGTCGTGTAAATATGACCTTGAAATCGTTTTCAGTGATGGGTAGATGGGCGAAGATGCGCCTTGTCGCTGAATGCCTGCGCGCGGCGGCCGGGTGCGACTTGAACGAGGCGCGAGTTGCAGCGCGATGCGGCGTTTTTCGATGAATGGTTTAGCAGGTAAAGGTTTATTTCGACTCGGGAATTCCTTAAAAAATATCCTCAGACCGTTTCGAACGCGATATGGGAACGGAGCAGCATTTCAGCGCGGCAATCGAAGAAAGTGCGGGGGTCTGATGGACAAAAATGTCCCATCATCTTCGTCAATGTCGAATAAATGAATAACAGGCTGGCCCACGAGGGGTTCCTGGACAGCCACATCAATCCGAGGGTCAAGACGACATGCCCTAAGGGTCACTTCGCATTTCAACAGCACAGAGCACCCTCCAACAACGCCGCCGCCATTCAAGCTAAACTGACAGAGGAGCTTGCCGGGCCAGATCACCGTGGCGAAATGAGATTAGGCCGCCTTATTCTCCTAACCTGACCCGCTCGACTAAGGCGTGCTACGCGTTTTGTAGAACAGGATCTAGGCCATTTCTCACCCCAACCTGGAGTCGCTGAAGACTCGCATCATGACAGCATGGGAGGACCTGGAAATGCCCCGCATCGTCAAAACCCGCAGACGCTTCCTCCCCTACGTCGAGGCCGTCGTCGGCGCCGACGGTGGTTACATTGAATGAGCACGTAGCGGAAGCATGTGGCTTGGTGTCCCTGGTCATTGTTTTGATCCATTGATTAGTATCTATGAACCAATGGCATTTGTTTTAGAAAATGTTGAAAAGCGCCAGAACTATCCGGACACCCTGTAGAGCTCGGGTTTCCCCGCGGTGACAGGCCACGGTACCCCTCCTCAGGCGGTCGTTCCTATAGGTAGATACCTACCTATACGGAAAATACCCAGGGGGCAGGGCCTACCGGGTTTATCAATCAAAAGCAGGCAAGCTCAAAGTAAGGAGTGAACCAATCGACGCTGTAAATGTTGAACAGACCCGTAACGTAGACCGGGCCAAGTCGCCCCATCGAGGTAAAACGCGTCACCGATGTTCCTTGGAAGTGGGAACTGGGAAGGTTCTGGCGAAGCATCCTCTCGTCTATAGGTATAATGTAGGTACCCATACGCATGATCATTAAATGAGCAGACTGGAAAGAAATTGTGATGCCTATTTATAGAGACATAGCCAAAAAATGTGTTTTGTGACTTGTGAGGGATTTTTATGTTTTGTTGTCTGATTATGCATCGCAGCGTTCTTTTATGGTGCACTTTGCTGGTTAACAACTTATATATGTATATATTTTGAACAACTCTTATCTAACGCCTCTCATGCCCGGTTGGTTTATGATCAATTGGGTAGGTATATTTTGATTGAGCGCGCGGCGTTTTTCTCGATGACCGAAGTAATTACGTAAAACACCCCAGTAGTCAGTAGTTCGCGGGAAAAAAAACATGGGGCATTTTATCTCAATTCTCATGTGTTGTTCGGACCACCCACTTCCTAATGCTCAGCAGCTGGCGAACAGTAAGTTTCTATGCATTTATATCCGCGCCTGGCCGGTGCTCGGCACCAACCGTGCCGAGCCGCGGGGGTGTTTGAACTCCATCTTCCAACTCGGCTCAGGTAAGGTCAAAGGTCAGGTCAGCAGAGGTCATCAAATGTAAAATGTTGCATATTTAAACATTTTTTGAAACACCGACGCATAACTCGGGGACCAGTAGAGTCACAGCGCCACGGAAAAGCGCATTCAGTTGACCCCTTTTAACGTTCTTTCTGGATTGAGTCCTCAGAATTGACCTCAGGTCAGCGTATAACCCGCGCCCCACTGGGGTCTGCGTATAACACGCCCTACTGGGGGGGGGGGGGCTATTCATA